CCTAGTGAGCCCAGAGGCAAAAATTTTAACAGCCATTATCAAGCACAGACTGTATGAACACATACGGCCCCAGCTTACATGGGTGCCGCAGTTCGCATATCAGCCACACAGGGATGTATCGGATGCACTAGCCAGAGTTCACACATGGGTCAGATCATTTCATGGCATCCTCGCTCGGGCAGCTCCGGGGCGGTTCGGCCTGAGAGAGTCCCACAGGATCTTTGTGTGGGAGGGGCCATCCTGAGCCTGGACCTTACGCAGGCATTTGACAGAGTGGATCGCTCAGCCTTGGTGGCTGCGCTTCGACGCTTGCAGGCTGCCGAAGACCTCATCTCGGCAGTGATCGCCCTCCACGACACCTCCTCCGATCATTTGCAGGACTCCTTCCATAGCACGCAAGTGCCCACAACTTGGGGAATATGTTAGGGATGTAAGCTGGCTACTCTACTCTGGGTTGCCATATCCATGACTATCCTCCACGAACTGGGAGGCACGCTCTCGGGCCCCCACTGTCAAGGCACTACCTCTGCAGACGACGCCCTGTGTGCGTTCATGCGCTTTCCAGATACCTCTCCGAGGTGCTTCAGGTGATGGCTGGCCTCGGTCGCTTGGTCAAGCTTACCAAAAAGATCAAAAAGGCGCTGTTACTTCGTGTCGGTCCGGGCGCTGCAAAAGTGCTCCGACAATACATCACCAGCAAAGATGCACGTGAATGGTGGCGCATCGAAGGGCCGGATGGCCCAGCACTGAAACCAACCGTGCGCTCCGTGGTGTATTTAGGTATGCATCTCACCCTAGGAGACAGCCTCCTACCGATCACACGACATCGTCTTGCAGAGGCAAAAGAGAGGAACGCAAAAATCCATAGAGCGGTCAGATCCCGCAGGATGTTCAGCCTCCCTTACCGTGTCCGCACTTGGCGGGCATGCACGATGTCAAATGCCACATTCGGCCTGGCGCCCACGGGAATGAGCTACACTGCTGCCACCTTCCTCCGTAGGTGATGCTACAGGCACCTTATGGCCTTAGGGCTGTAGTGAATTCGCCAGTACATCTCACAGATGAGAGCAATGCCACCCTGAGGAATAAGCACACGATTGAGCATCCTGTTGACCAAATGGAGCGCTGCGTACAGAAAAAGACGGAAGCACAATCAGCCAACCACCAGACATGACCGACACGGAAGAAGCCCTGCAACACTGGAGAACAGTGCAGCGTGGGGTCCAGGCCGTAACAACCTCGGCCCTCGCTTCTCAAACAGTGGTGCCGGTTGCATCGACCATCAAAGGCATTGCATGTGCCGAATGTGGCCTCTGCTTCCCCTCCACTAAACCCTGAACCTTAGGACAGCGCAGAGCCCTGAAACACAAAGTCTTGATCAAATGGATCCGGTAGAGGCAAAAAGATATCAGCAGCAGGAGCACAGCGTTGATGGTATACCCCAGTGCAAGCACTGCAGCGCCTAACTCCATTCTCGGGGGGGCACTCAAGCAGCATGTCCTAACCTATGCGTGCCGCCCCAACCACACTACCACGGCGATCGCGTCCTCCTCGCTCGCCAGGCCCCCGGATAGGGACGTGGAGGATGGCAAAACGATACCATCAACACCAGCGGAACACGCACAAGCTATTCCGCTTGCAGAGAGAGCTCAAGCCAGAAGCAACAGCTGAGGACGAGCATGTGAACCCAGAGAACAACACTAGCCTGCACGTCTTTGAGGGTGGGCAGGTCATGCGGACAATAGAAAACAACATCAGTAACCCTCTCCACCGTTTCCAGTTGGTCCGACAAGCTGAGAACACACTGCGGCATCTGTGGGCAGTGGATAGTGAAGCAGGGAGCGGTCAAGGCTGAGAACATATCAAACGAATGCATCAGGGCTTGATCACTTTCAGAGCCTCTGCGAGGAGTACCGTGACCTCATCGCGCGCGATTATGACTGCGAGCTCTGCTCTCAGAGGGTGTATACAAAGGACCGCCACTTAAAGAACTGAGTGGTCATCTTCCAAGTCGCGCTGGCGTGCGCTGGCAACGGCCGGGATCTGTGCCGGCGGCCCCGAACCTGACACTGCCTCAGCAGTCACTCCTCACGGAGCCGGTCACTGCGGCCGGCCCCCCCTCCTCCTCCAAACCGATCCTCAGGTTCCTGGAGACACACTGTGGACTCTGCTGCTCATTGGAGCTCACGAATCAGCAGGATTGAAGACAGCGCGTGTGCAAGGGCAGTGTGGCAAGGCGCCCAGAGCAGTTTGCTGGAGAGAATCAACAACTTGACCTGTCTCGTCCATGCAAATTCTGCCGCACCTCTGGAAAGTGCCTTCCGTCCTGCAGTTAGCGCTGTTGGAACATCATGACGGAAGGCGGGCGCGATGGAAGAAGTGGCCGAACTCTGGGGACTCGTCATGGACTTTGGCAGCCTAGGCATCACCCCGCAGCTGATGCAGACCGCCGCAAAGAGCCGCTCAAGCTAGAGAGGGACCCCGCAGTCCAGCAGAAGATGGCGGCCTCAAAACTGTTGAGGACCGAGCCACTCAGATGGAGCTACAGCCGATGGTGCCCGGACAAGAAAAGCCACGAGCCCATCAACGAGGATCTTCTACTCCAAGAAAGGACGCTCCAGGCCACGCTAGCCCTGAAGACGACACTGAGCAAAGAGGGAGTCATTCCACGCTTTTCACACTATGAACGGCATGTCGGAGGAAAAAAACCACGGTCACGGCTTTCAAGTTGACCATTTCGCTCGAAACACAGGAGAAGAAGGCCATCAGGGAGGCCCTACAGCTACTCACGGACTCAGCAGCACTGCTCGCCTTCATCGGCTGCTGCCCAAGAAATTGCAGATAATGCGCAAACGCGAGGACTGAGGCAGGCAGCAGCCAGGGCAGCACCGGTGGGGGTTCCACAGGAAGGGCTGCCCGGCGGCCGAAATTGGCCCCACCAGCCATCTTCAACAAGGAACGGCGAGGATCTCTCTCTCCGGGGTTTTGCAGGCTGCCTGCAAAGGAATGATTGCACTCCGGCCTCCCACCGGGACGCCATCTCGTTCCTTTTGGCATATGGCAGCGCGGGAAAAACACATTGCCATGCCTGAGCTGATTTCCCGACCTTGTTTCGCCCTGGCCAACCCACATAGCCTGTGCCACCTTAACGCGTGCACTCAGGCCGTCATGTGGGTATATACTGGCTGAGCCTCAACACGTTGCGCGGATTTTGATCCAATGCGTACGATTGCATTGTGCCCGCTGAATAGTCGACTCGACTACAGCGTGAGAATGAACAAATGATCTGTCGTCGCGTCACGGATGTCTTGATGATGTGATGCTCGGATCGCCGAAGATATACTTTGGATCCATCCATTGATCTTTGCTTGTGCGGCCAACCCCATGTTGCGGTCGTGGAAGATAGGGTTGCGACCGATGCGCTGCTCAGAGAGTGTTCGAACGGCAACGATCGGAGTAAACTGGTTCCTAAACCATCGGCTGGGGTTGGGTAGGTTGGGATTGAGGGTTCAGTTTAGCCGTTTGGTGGAGCAGGTGTTCAGATGTGACCGCCGTGGCCATTCTGGCGCGAGTCGCGAGTGCCTGTGATCTTGTTGATCCGTCCCAGTGCGTGCTACAGTGTAGGATGGACGTATGTTGATGGTTCGATCGTTTGCAGTACGAGGTTCGAACTACGGGTTTCTTGATGCCCGCATCGGCGTGCGAGCGATCGGACGAATGAAGCTAGACTTTGGATCTATCCATTGATCTTTGCCTGTGCGACCAACCCCATGTAGCGGTCGTGAACACTGAGATTGTGACCGTTGCGCTGCTCAGTGAGTGTTCGAACGGCAGCGATCGCAGCATAGGTATATGCACGCATGTTTGTATTATGTATATGATATATGCATGTATACATGCTTATATAGTCAAATAGGTTTTTCGTGTGAAGCATCGTATAACTCTACGGTCACAATTGGATACAATAAGGGCAGGATCTTAGCCAGAAGTTCAACAGAAACCAAGAGGCAGGCAAACGAAACAAAGGGCAACGCGAAGATTGACCCACAAGCGCAAACGTGCTTGTTGTCCACGAACTCAGAGCGGGAGATGTGCATTCAGGTATGCACGCGTGCAGGTGGAGAGGGGTGGATACATGGATGCATGGATGCATTGTGCTGTGTATACCGGGGAGCAGCCTACTTTGGAATCACTTTGGAACTTTGAACTCCAAAAAATTGGAGAGCGGCAAACCAATCAGCCAGCAAATGCCACACGTTTGTTCAACATTGGCAAGTTGCAATCGCAATCTTGAACTTCAAACCGTCAGGTGACTAGGGACTGTCCAAAACAAGCAGGAGTTGGGAGTGCCTCAGTGCCAAACTCTAACACCAAAAAACCGTAAAACCAAAACTTCAAATACAAAGATTGGAAAACGGAGGGATTGTGAACAAAAACAAATGCAGAGTGGCAAACCTTAAATACAACAAACAGAGCATGACGTGTCACATTTGTGTGTTCCGAAGGGAGCAGCGCACTTATCGACTTCTGTTGAAATTGACCAATTTGCTTTTGACCTTCGTGGCAAAGTGTTGTGGTCCTGGAATTCATGCTGCTGACCCGAAGGTTTTATGACCAACTTTATTGCACCCGTTCGGGACTCTGTTTGTCGGGAACCTCTGTCGTGTGGGCAGAGCCTGCAAAGCCCTTAACCAGCAACATTCCAGGCTCCGCACGTTGCATGTCATAATCATGTCATTGTCGAACGCATATCTTACACAGTTTTTTGCAGACTCGTGCTCGAAGTGCGACGAACATTCTTCAACCCCACACCACCCTCCTTGCGGTTCAAGGGGCATCGAGCGCAAAAACTGTGATCGTGCCTGCCCCAAGCCACACGGGATGGAGCCGCATCACGTCAGCAGCTGGTATTCGCTACATAGAACAAACAGGGGGAAAATCGTGCCTATCAAATCAACACCACACAACTTGGACCCGACTCCCGTTTGCTCATGGCCGATATGGCGAAGACTGGCGTGTCTCTGCCAATTAGCAGCTATCGTGGTCCAGATGTGAACCTTCCGTGGATGGTGCCAAACCTTCCGGTCGACTTGCAGCTGGAAGACGTGGCTTCAAGACTGTATCAAGCTCAAGAGGAGCGTAAAGCAGTTGAGGAGCAAGTGGGTTCAGGCAAGTACCCACTGAGCATTGCCAGGCCAAAGAGAAGTTCTGGTGCAAGCTCGTCTCTCATTGCTGGTAATGCACAAAGACTTCTCAGGGTACAACAGGATCCCAGGCTCTTGGAGATGCAGGAAGCGCTTTCCTCAGATCCTATCTCCGGGTATCCAAGCGAAACCAAAGCTGTTTGGCTGGTACACTTTCGTCAGGGACTTCGAAAGCTTATTGACTCCGTGGCTATGAGCCCCAATCCTGATGCGGCCGAAAGGCAACTGGATGAAGCATACAGATGGTACCAGAAGGCAAGAAGACCCGCACACCACGCACTGACTTCCTGCACCGCAGGACCAGGCTTCCACGATTTCTGTGCCGAAGAGGTGCTGCGGCACCCAGCTCCCCCAGGTTCCGCATTCTTCGTGCCAGAGGCCCTTGATAGGGAGCGTCCCGGCCGGTCTTCCTCGCATGACAGCACCAAGTTCGAGGCGAAGTTGTGCTGAAAGTGATTGCAAAGCCAACCGTGCAGAGTTTCGGGATTGGGGAGGTGAGAGTCTTTCACAAGGTCACGGTTTAAGTAAGCCATGTGGCGCTGTTTCAAGAAGTGGCGTGCTGCAGTGCTGTAGTGACTGTAGTGTATTGGTCAAGAATAGCGGCACCCACACCTCCCATGAGCCCTTCCATCCAAACCCGGATCAAAAAGAAGGATGAAGTATACACCGCCAGAGTAATGCGAGTGCACTGGACCTGAGAAGGCATGATGAGACTGGAACCACATGTTTTGAGCTGAAGTAGGATCATACACATGCTTGGAAGAGGCACTTTCGGCCTCGCTTCCGACAGTTGCTGGTCGCCACGCTGTCCAGGTTGGTGGATGCAGAGCTTGTTTCGGAGAGCGTGGCAGGAGAGCTCTTTTCGGAGACGGCAAGCTTAGGTGAAGCTGGCTTCGCCGAGGGAGCGTCTCAAGGCAGCAAGGGAACAAACCTGTCTCGCCGAAGTAGAACTGAAGCATCGTCGGAGAGAGGCATACTCGTCCACGAACATGCAATGCTCCAGATGGGCGCATTATCCAGAAGCATGTCGTTGAAGTTGCAGTTGCATCCGATGCAGCACCGCGTGTGGCAGGAATTCAACACCAGACAGCTCGTTCGACCGCTTACAGCGCGAAAACTAAAGGACGGCTGTAGCGCTCAGCAGTGCATATGGTGCACCGCGCATGTCAGGGTCACAGCAGTGGCATCATGGCTGGAAGGACTTGGAGCATCGCGCAGAGGGGGATCTGGAACGGCCGCTCACTCCATCCACAACTTGCGGAGGCCCTCGTCGTGAATCTGTGGGGGAATTGATGTGGTGGCTACCCCTCCAGGCCGATTCGTATAAGCCGGATTCGGCAGTGTGCCTGATTGGGTTTATTTGGGTTTCTAGCCTTGTAGATGTGTTGGTGTTGCCGGTTCGGTTGGGTTAGGCAGGAACACCGGCCCTCTCTCCCTGCCAACCTCTCGTTGCTTTGTGCGTGCAGTCAGCCAGGCTTGTGCCAGGGTAGGTGTGTGTTGTGCTTGGCTGCTTTTGCTGTGCAGCAGTTGAAGAGGTTTTCCCACCCACCCACCCTGGTTGCTGAGCAGCTGGGGGATGATGGGGGCCTGTTGGCTGTTCGTGTGACTGCCGGCCCCATGTTTGAGCAAAAGGTCGGCGCACCCATGTCTTTAGTAGAGTAGGTTGGTTTGGTGTAGAGGTCAGCGTGTGGTCGGCTGCCTCCGCGTCGCTGCTTGCCTGATGGTTTGCCAAGCCAGGCCTCACCGCACGGTCAATGGAATCGCCCTCAGTCGAGATGTTCTGAATAAAAGATGTATGTCGCATATCCCGAACCATGTCTCTCAAGGTCTCGGCCAGATCACCGACGCCTGCACATGCTGCAGGCCGTTTCACAGCAATTCTGCGTCGCTCGCTAGTCACTGATGTAATTCCACTGGCTTCTCCCGCTCAGCCTCGCGGCCAACATCTGCCATGAGCATTGTGCGGGCCTCGAAGTGGCAACCTGCCTCGGCGCAATTGGACGTTTCAAGAAGCGTCTCGATGGAAACCTCCGAGAGCCAGGGTCAAACTACCACAAGTCGAGCGGTGCTGAGCCCAGCCAGACTTCATATCAAGTTAACGTCTGTGGCAAGACATCATGCTACCAAACGTGCGTGTTTTCTTTCAGCTGGTCTGTCCGGCTCACGACACCTCCACCAGTGGAAAAGGTGACACCACGCAGCTTCGACAGGCGGCGCAGGCGCCACGCTTGCAAGAGCACGCTTAGTGCCAAGGGCCTGCAGATTGCGCAGCAGGCCACAGTCTGCGGCGTCCAACACGTCTACAGTCTTCACCTTACGCTACTATCATTGACCATGAGGCTACAGGGCATTTGCGCAATGCATCTTGCCGGCAGGTAGCTGGGCTACCCCAAACACTTGAGGAGTCTGCTGCCGAGTAACTTGAAGAAGCAGTTGATTCGAACCCGTCCGGTTGCTGCTGTAGAAGGGAGATCGCGCTTCAGCTCGACGATGAGTGTTGATGCCTTAGTGCATACTCGCGCTGGTCACTGCAGCCCTCGCGAGCCACGTCGCTGGCTGTGACTTGCGAGGTCATGCGCTGCCATATCCAGCAACCGAAGCCGAGCACAGGATGGAAAAGTGCCCACCTCAGACATGGATAAGTCTGCATCCAAGTGTCAGCTTTCAGACCAGGCGCTGGCTTTCAAAGCGGAACCGTGCTGTCACAGACAAGGACCTGCATGAGCTCGTGCTCGTTGCTCAGAGTGTCCTGGATCGTTCTGGTCGCAAGCGCAGGTCGTCGGGGAAGAGCAGCGCACTGCCGGTCGTGACTGGGCAGAGCGACTGGAACTCAGAACATCGTGCTTTTCATGAAGTGAAAAGCAAGACGTATCGAATTGAATCTTGGGAAAAGCGCCTGGTCACAGATTGAAGCCGATGCGTTAGCGACTCACGAGTTTGAAGCTCCACCTTTGCAGGTTTGAGTGATTGTGAGTGCCCGTGTGTGCCTCGATCACAGGGCGTTGAGGTGTTTCGGCTGATGCAGGTTCGGTGCCACATCAGGATTGAAGACAGTTCTGAAACGTCACACTTCAGTCGTTACAATGCACGGGAGCCGGGTGATGCCGGCAGGAGGCCACAGGAGGCCTAAAGCCCAAACTAAAGTGGCTCAGAAACGCAAGCGAAAGAACGTCGCCGTGCTTGGACCTTCGGCCTTCGGCAGATTTAGGATTTAGGACGTATAAACAGTGCCCTGAGTGCCCTGAGCCTGCAGGGATGGGGCGTGGTTGTCGCTCCTATCCTTTTCCATCTTGCGTGTTAAGGCCGTGCACGCGCGGAAGAAGAAATATCGAGGAACGCAGAGGCTTGTGCAGCGATGCAGCATGAAGGAATGCATTCACTTGGTTCATCCGGTCTGTCGAAGGCCAGTCGTTTTCAATGCGTCCTGGCCCTAGTCCCAAGCAGGTGGACGAGGCAGACGACTTTTGTGCCCGAGGCACTTGACCGACGACGGTACTGCAAGCCAGCAGATGCGCTTGAGGACCTGGGTCAACGGCATGTGGCCGGAGGGCTTAGCAGACAACCAGTGCGAGGACATCGATGCCACCGTCGCTGACGACGAGGTCGTGCAAGGGCAATGCCTGGATTCAGCAATGCTCGCCACTGGCTGCAAGGTGGAAGGACACGTTGTGCAACGAGTTGCAAGTCAACACAGGAGGCTTGTGAAGGGCAGCTCTCCTTCGGCACACCAATCCGTGACATCTTCATAATCGCAATCCTAGTCGCATTGCTTCACTTCGTCACAACCATGACATACCATGACCATCATCATCGTCATCATCATCATCATCATCGCTATTTCCATATTCAGCTTCACAGTGATCTGAATCGCGACAAGAAGTCGGACATGATTAAACCAACACTCGAAGCAGTGCGGCGAGCCTCGAACCTGCAGCGGCGGCAAGATCTTTATCCGAAAGGGAGAAGGGAGTGACAAGCGCTAAAGCCCCCAGCCCCAATGATTGGTAGCATGCCCCAGCCCCCCATATGTCTTTGTAGGTGAGCAGCATCAAGGGAAGAGTCCAGGCCTGCAGTGCTTAAACTTTGCTGGCAAGTCTCCTGAACGACCCGACAGAAGTGGCCGCGCCAACCCTAAAAGGAAAAGGAGTGACCTCTGAAACATTAGGACATGAGTCGGCTCGGGGACATCAGCCCACGAGATCCCACGAGAAAAAGAGTGCACAGCGGGAGTGGCAAACCCGTAGCAAACGAAGCATTGAAAGGAACGGCGCATAAGGCTGGTATGATTGTCGGTATGAAGCACGGTCAAACTCATAGGAAATGCAAGCAACATCATGGCGGTACAAGCAAAACCGCGAATTTACACAGCTAAAGACAGGCACGGCGATAGTATATGATGGCTGTGACAAGGGAATTTCGGAATCCTCCTCCGCTAGACTCACGTGAACACTTAGAGTCAGGCCATGCAAACGTAATAGCAAAAGCAAAGGCAGCAAGGAGTGCAACCAAGTTGGCGCAGTTTGACATGGTAGGGGGAGTAGTCTAAGAGCAATCGAAAAGGCAGTGGCGGAACCAGCAGGTTCTTTCGGAGAGCCACTAATGAGCAAATGGGCCTGTATTGGGACCCAAGCTTTGGACCGGTACCAAACTTGAGATGCAAAGCAACAATGTGAGCGGGGGCGGGTGACGGAGGAGGGGGAGAATTAGCTTTAGCGCTTCGCAGGTCACTCCGCCGGTCACTCTGGATGTGTTGTGGTCCTTTAGATGGTTTGGTTTCTGAATCTGGACGGCTTCAAGACCATCCGGACATATCTGGACCATCCTCCATCAGCGACACGTCATTGTGCCACGTGAGTTGGACAGTAAATCAGCCGTAATTCGTGCTGGTGTGTCTCAGGACTGAGAGTCGGACTGAAGCCGTCTCGGATTGCTTGATGTGGTATGCAGCTTGGAAATTGGAGGCCGAGCGAGCCAGTACGGGTGGATGTCTCCCAACCCAAGGGCTACTCCTTTCAGGCTCGCTGCACTCTTTGTTTCTTAGCCACTTCGGCCCAGATCCTGAAGGTTGCGGCTCGTTTCGTTGAAAATGAGAAGAAGCCGAAGGCCTTGAACTCGAGGCCTTTAAGCGCTTTGGCATTTTGATGGGTCCTTGGAGATGGCATCTGCGCAGGATTGCCCACCTCCGGCGGATCCATGCGCACTTGATCGAGGACGCCCTGGCCCGAGACTCGCGCCATGTCGGATGCAAGCTCGAAAGCAAGGAGCGGCCCAAGTCCGATGAAGAGAACGAGGACGAAGGCGACAAGGGGTCGTTGAGTCTCTTCATGTTTCCTTTCCCAGCAATGGTGACTTGCAGGTGAGGCCGAGGATGAGGAACCGCGTGCACAAAACGCGACACCAGTCATGCGGGGGCCCCGCTGTCTCCGGCATGCGAGAGTTTGATGGGAGCCCTGCTGATAGTGCTTTGGATCATGCTGGATCCATGTCGAAGACATTTGAGGCTCAGTCCTTATGCCAGCGCCTGAGCTGTCGAGCTGCCATCTCGCAAGTCGACTAAGTCGACTAAGGCTGCCCAAGATGACGACCGTGCAGCTGTTCCTCGAATGGAGGATCTCCGTTTCAAAGGTCAAGCTGAAATCGTCTTAAAGTGGCTGCCGCAGGACGACTCAGATGTCTTGGTGGGTATCTGCGACTGGCATTGGGCTCAACCTCGGGCCTTGGGGGCTGTATTCCCGCAAATCTCATGTCAGGTGGGGGACTTTGCATCCGCCGATCATTCCTCCGAACCTTGGCTGCGTTGGCTGGAAGACACCCAAGATGGCTCCTCGTTTTCGAGCTGAGATGTGCGAGGCCTGACGGGACCGGCGTGACATTGGACGAGGTGATGGCAGCTTAGAAGCGAATCGTTACCACAAAGCCATGAGCTGAAAGCCATACTTCGTACCCGACCGTTCGCGCACGTCGATCATCAGCCACTTTTTCTGGCGCCGCAGCCGCGCACGTCGACATGCCCACCTTGTGCATGCCGATGGGCAGGGGGCTGTTGGAAAGCCCCATTCAAGTCGTTGTACCTCAGTTGCCACAAGGCGCAAAGAGCCCAAAGTCCAAAGGGTTAATGAATACAATCTCGGAAAACAGCACTTCACAGTCCAACTGGCCAGTAGCACGTACTGGCCCTGAAGGCTCCGACCAACAAGCATCTAGCCCCCTTGCAGATACGCTTCCAGCAGCTGCAAGAAGTGGAGGAAATCAAGCGGGTTTGCGCCCGAAGGACTGACAGATGAGTCAAAACAAGCGTGTTCCGCAAGCTAGTCGAAAACTCAGATCCACGACTTGTATGATGTGTCATGCTTCGTTGCAGGAGCTATCCTGTGAATGTTGGAGTCCTGGAAAGAGCCCTGGTCATGCCCGCGCACAAGCTCAATGCCTGCTGCCAAGTTGCTACGTGCATTTCGTTCACGAGTGTTTCTATGGCAAATCTAGTGGAGCCATTACACTGCACAAAACCTTTCATGGTAGCTGCTTGATGCAGCTCTTCCATGCCGCTGCGTTGAATCCGCATCCAACGTTTGCATCAGCCTGGTCACCTGAACGGCATCTACATCGTCAACACCAGCCCGCGCTATGCTCGGCATGAAATGTATAATCATGAATAATCACTGTTGTTGCCGTGTGACTCTCCGAAACCGAGGGACCTGCTGTCCAATCCTTTTTTGGCAAGCGGCTCGGTTCTTTGAAGCAGAATCCGTTGCTCTTCATTTTCATGCAAAGGCGAAGAAAAAGAAGATCAAGAAGAAAAAGAAGCTCGGAAAGGCTTGTCTCAACTGAGGAAGGTAGAGGAATTTGGTGCATCCAGTGGGGCCCCTGTTCATGGGTCACCCTGGTCTGTGGCAATTGTCAGGGAAAGAAATCCCGCAGCACCTCAGCAAAGAAAGGCGATGTGGCGAGTACCGAATCAAGAATCATCTGAATCATCTGGCAGGAAAAGCAAAGTGAGAGGGTTTGCCTCTGGAGCCATCTGGTTGGCCATGTGTCTGATGCAAATGTTGTACTCGTACAGTGCTTGGGATTTGGTTCGGGTTTTCACACTACCGCAACAGCTTTCTACTGGTTACACTCGCGGAAGGGCAAGGGAGCACAGGCTCCAACGAGTCATCCCTTTTGCACGAGCAGCGAATTTATCATCTTTTTCCTGCAGGATGCTTGCAGAGCAAGCATCTCTGCAGTCCGCAGAGTGCCACAAGCGTGCACTGGACGCAGTTCAGGAAATCTGAAGCCGCCCTCAACGCTCGCAGGACAAGGGGTTTTAATTTGAGAAAAGGAGTCTGCGACATAGCTGTGCTAGTTGCTTCAGTGGAGGTGATCGTGCCGTTGCTACTCCTATTCCTCCCAATCTTCTCGGGCACGAGAGCACGCCCAAAGCCTCCCAGACGTTCTCCAAAGTGCATCCAAGCTCCAAACGTCCTGCGCGGGTTTTCGTTGTCAAAAGTCCTGTCAACGCGTCGGTACACGCTTGGACTCTCCTTCTCAAGACTATACCCCATTGAAGCACGGGCAGCCCTCGGTCAGGAAATCCTGAACTTGTATTGAGTGATCACTGCAGCTTTCTGAAGTGCTCAAATTGCGTGCATCTTCTCCCAGACAAGGCTGGGCTGTTTGGAAAATTTTGTAAAGATTCACGAGAGTCCAGCAATGCGTCGCATGCATGCACCAATTATGGTTCCTGGAAGTCTACCACGCACTTGCGAGATGTTTGCGAATATAGTGGAGTGGTTCGTAACCGGTTTGCCAGTCTGCCCAGCTCGATACCCGCGCGATTTTTTTCTCAACCTGACTACATAGTGCAGGAGGTGTGATGGAGTGCATTCCCTGGACAGAGCAGCTCGGATTCAACCAGAGGGCACTAGTGTGCGAGACAGGCCATGCAGCAAGGAGGCCCCAATTTAATATGCACGCAGCAATTGGCCGGCTATGGCTGGAACTCGGTGTGAGCTAGGTGTTTCTAGCCCGTTCGAAGAGAAATGTCGATTGATGTCTGCATCTTGTGCATGCTTCCTAGCTGCTTGTTTGTCACGCGTGCACCGCTCGAAATCACGGTGCTTTGCCTGGTTGCTTTCAGCCGCTTACCGCGCTTCACTGTTCCTGCAGACGGTTGCGGCGCTGGTTCGTCGCGAGCAGTCGCCTCACTCGTCCCGCCTGCGCTAGCAAGATGCAAGTGGAAATGAAGCAGCCGCACAGCGACGCGAGCAGACTTCCTACATTTTCCTACAAGCTCGTACAGCTCCCCCTGAGCCCATCCGTCTTCATGCGAGTCGAGTCAAGAGCAGCATACGCCTACCTGCAAACAGCAAGGGGAGAATGTGGTACAGTAGAAGATAGTGTACTGGAAATTGGACTTTGCTTTAAGAGCAAAAGATTGTCCTGTGGAAAGCACTACACCATGAAACCAGCTGCACCGGACAACAGACCACAAGTCGAAACGGCCCTATCGAGCCTCATCCTGCGACACTGGTCACCGCGAAGCAAGCAATGAGTTTCAAGCCGCGAAGATGTGAATTGAGAAGAGAGAACAGGAAGTGTGGCATCTTCGCCTCAGCTAGTTCGTACGGTTGATCCCGGACATCTCCGAAAGCATTGGTCATCGGACCGAGGGCTTTAGATCCAAGCGTCCCGCGCCCTCCACCTGCTCATATCAAGTTCGCCAGCGACCATCCAAGGAATATCATCTTGCTTTCGGCCACTCGGAACTGCCAAGGCAAGTCCTAGAGCGTGTTTGTCAGAACGGCAAGCGCTCAGGACAGCTACAAAGTCAGCCACTGGAAGCAGTACCCTCCTGGAACACAGTACGTTTACAGCCGCTCGGCACATCATGGTGCGGCTTCCAGTCAGCTTCCCGACCTCAGCCCGTTCACCCAGGTTATTTCGAAAGTCGCGGTTGTGAGAATGACGAATGGAAAGAAGTGGTCTTTTTCGGCCTTCAGTATCTCTGCAGCATGCAGATGCGCATGGACCACCAGCCAACACCCTAAGAGCTTCTGAACTTGATGGCCTCTTCAGGTATTTCATCAAGCGGTACTTGCTTGGCCAGGTCGTGACCAAGGACTGGGGCGGCGATCTGACTGTGAATTTGGGTCATTACTGCTACTCGTACAAGATCTAAAAGGAGAAGATCGACGAGGCTGCAGAGCTCTACGAACAGCACTTCGGAGATGACAAATCTCTGCCGCTTGCTGCGCTTGTGAGCTTGATGCGAATTCTTCGATTTTGTCACCCCGCTTTTTGAGGTTCTACCGTGAGGGATGGGAGTACATCTTGAAGGAGCATGGCGGAAGGCACTGTATGTTTTTTCTTGTGTTCCCCCTCTCCCCCTCCCTTGTCCGCTTTTGCTGGCATGGTGGAGGCTGCCTGTTCACATCAAGGCCGTCCCCGAAGGCCTTTCGGACTTCTTGTCTGACTTTGCCGAGTCAAGATAAGCTTTGCGTCAGAGCTTGAGTCTCCGCATCGCTTTGGGATCCGCACCAGGCATGGTTATCCCCACAAAGACTGCTTTGTTCACCCTTGTCAACACTGCGCCTCGGCAAGGAATATTCTCAAGTTGCACGTAGCAGGTCAGGATTGCGAAGAAGTGACAGGTTTCTGAAGCAAGATTGCAGCTGACATAACGAATCTTGTCTTGCTTGACTCATGCCAGAAGCACTACTTCCAACATGCACTAGGAGCGAACAGCTCTTCAAGTTGCCAATGATGTGCGGTCTTTAGTCCGCATTCCTAATTAGTAGGTTTCGCTGTGGCTCGTAATCCTGTACTGTCAGTGCTGTAGCGGTTATCAACTGTGCCTGTACTGGTACTGTGGCCGTTGTGACTAATGGTCTGATGGTGAAAGTTTACCATTATCATGCGGTGCGACCGGCACGATCATTGCCGTGCTTGCTGACTCTGCATTCCTCAGAGTTGCTATGACAGTGCTACGTCATAAATGCATTGCTATCTTTTCTGTTTCAGCTCACATCCCTGCGAGCTGGACAAGCCAAACCAATGATCGTAGGGCGAGCTACGGTTCGAGCAACTGCGCACAACCAGGATTCCGCGAATCAAGCGGCCTGTGATCCTCCTGCTCCTTCTGCTGCTGCTGCTGCTGCTACTACAAATAATACCTACACTTTAACACTGACACTACCACCAATACTGCTACCACTACTACAACCACCACCACGACGACAACTGCTGCTACTACTACTACTACTACTGCTACTACTACTACTACTATTACTACTACTACTACTACTACTACTACTACTACGACTACTACCGCTACTACTACTGCTTCTACTACTACTACTACTACTACTACTACGCCGACGACGACGACGACTACTACTACTACTATTCCTCCTCTTGCTCCTATTGCTATTACTAACTCAATTACTATTACTATTACTTTGGC